CATCTTTCTCTATCAACCTAAAACAAAATTACCCCGGAGCCAGTCAAGATATAAACAAACCGTGAACTTGGACTTGAAGTTGCAGCCTCAAAATCAACCATGTTCTCAGCCTATCGGTCGTTTCTCGAAAGAATTAGAGAGCAACAAAAGGCAAGCCAATAATTATTTGAAATGTGTTAAATACTTACATTCAGTTGGTTCTTCCTCCGTATCCAAGGGCGGTGAGCTGCTTTTATTTTCTTTTACAGCAGACACGGGAATCTTGACTCGTTCACAATTCGCTCCGGATTCAATCTTGGAAATCATCAAATCTCCGCATGGACTCCGCCGATGGGCATTCTGAGTCTCACATACGACCAGAGTGTCGCGAACACATCTGGTAACTACAGAATCAGAAGGCTTGCAAACTGAACTTGTTACAGGAATGAAATCATCCATAACTCTTTCGGAGATGGTCGTTGATGTGTTCCGTAGTTCGTGAGTCGCAAGTGATTTCAGTTTGTCTATAGGATGCGTGTCTCCGCGAGTAGAATAATTCGCTTTCGACGGCTCTCGGATGATTTTAACCAGAGGTTGCTTACTTGACGAGGCTTCATTAAGAACAGGAACTGGACTGAAGGGCTGAAACCAAGTTACACCACCTGGAAACCGGATGCGTAGATGAAAAAGTAAAGTGGTAGAAAGTGATTTGTTATGTAACGCCAAAATATTGAACATAAACATACCACAAAAGTTTTAAAACTCTCAGTTTTGCAAAATTTGAACGCAGCAGAAGTTTATGCCTTGAGGTGGAAAAACAATAAAAAACTATCCCGCATTAGCATGGATTCATCAAGTTTTGTAATCGGATAACAGTTCCAGCATCCAAACATCTACATTTGATTTTGATGGAATATGCTGCATATTTATAGTCACCAGACGGTGGGTAGTAGTGGGTAGTGATCTAAAAGCGGTCACGGAAACCCTTCGAAGCGGAATGATTAATCAAATAAGAAAATGATTATATTGGTCAGGTAGGAAGCCGGGCAACAGACAGCTCAGATAACTGTCATCAAAACCTACGGCAAACAGGTATATCCTTTTTTCATTATTAGGATGTCTGTAAACTTCATTTACATCTAGTACTATTCCGTATTTTCAATAGAATCATGAGGAAAGAACACTTGCTATCGATAATTCAATTTGTGCTTTCTTTGTCAGCACCTTACTGCCGCCTTGCCCAGTTTAAGATAAAAGATAAACAACCAAATAACTATCGCCTGATCCTCAGTACAGCCGGGAGGTGTGTGAAACCCCCGTTTCAAAGCGGGGTCGTGATTTATTCATCAGATTTCACATCCCTCAGATGTAGGTTACTCCCCCGCGATATAAAATACAACCATTATTTAGAAAATACTATCGGTACAGTTGTAACGATCTGTAATTCGAGTCAGTTGCGAGGTAATGAAACCATACTACATGAAAAAGTGTAATATTCAACGACATTAGCTTTCAGGGTGAAATATCATAAAAAAGTTAAACATAAATAGGCTCGGGATGAGCGCAACGTTTCAAAATTACGAACCATTAGAAGCTCGAGCCTCTGCAGCCATGCGGAGTCTATCATTTCGCACGTCGCGGCAAGGGGAACGATGTCCATGAGACATACTCATACGTCCGTATTCTTCAGCCCAAGCCACGACCCGTGAAGATGGTATGGGGGAGTTCGCTGGACTGATGTTCTGAGTCTCTCGACTATTAGACTGAGCACAAAAGTTTACTTTCATCGCGGTTATCATTTCCGCTAGTTGCTTCTCCGCCCGATCGCGCAGTTTGTACAAAGACTGAAATTCTTCAGAATCACAAGACACTAACTTCTCACATCTTGTCTGAACAGAACTTTGCTCCAACAGCGCGCTATCGGGAAGTGAGGCTTTTGTGGGAATTCCACGACGTGTCGACGAGCGACCACGAGTGTCCGGATAGGTGACGGTATTTTCCCTCGGCACGGAATGACAACCGGCTGAAACCATGATAAAAGAAGAACTACTAGATTAACAGTTTAAATCCTAATTGACCATTTTCAATGGTATTGAATGGATAACAGCAAGCTCCGATTCCAATTAAAGATGAAGCGAAATTAAATACTCTATGTTAACAATGCGAAGTACATTTATTTCCAATTGATATGATGAAATGAATCAAATAATAAAAAATAACTAGGAAAACGATTACAAAAAACCAATACAGACAATACAGACAAAATAATCCAGCCAACCGAAATAGGTGGGGGAAAATCTTTTTATATCGGACAAAGATTTCAGCGAGTTCTACACGAGTAAATGAGGGGTGCATAAAAGTCAACCTGGTCTTAACGGATGCAACTCTAAATATCAGCGTGTTTAGCAGTAGTTATTGAAATGCTTATTCATGACACTGCAGGTAAATCATAATTGAGGTATGTACTTGCAATATCATGTTCCTCTTGTTTCATAGGGAATTTCTAAAGTCGAATTATTTGGTGCTCAAAATTGAGGAGATTCACATACTGTTCTTGCCACACAAAAATCCCATAACCTCCGTCGACTGGATGGTGAGTTTTATTAACCTTTAAACGCTTTTATATGTGTGCATGTGAAGCAGTAAATTTTGTGAATTCGTTGAAGAAAGAAACGTTCTTATCAAACAAAAGACCGGGGACCTATTTAACGACACGAGGCCGGAAGACCAGAGATGGTTATTCCCGAAAAATTATCTGCTCAGTATCGGTTTCCAAAGGTGTTACGTTTGTCCAACAGTACGAGGCGTATCTGGTTTGAGTTAACCCATATTCAGTCAAATCCCTAAATATCATATCTATCAAGCGGCAGAAAAACGCTTCAATTTAAAGTGTTTTAAAAAGCAATCAACAGTAATAACACGAGATCCATGGATGGAACGGATCTAAGTGAAAACCTTGGGCGTCGTGCTCATGATTATTGAGGAAATTAGCTTGTCTTAGCCACGACGAATGAAAACCAAAACGCAAAGGCGTTGATAACAACGTTTCGACCCTTTCGGAAAGCCCTTTTCAAGTAGTTTGCAAGCATTTATTAGGCGATGGGATGATGACATCGTAAAAGGGAGTTGTTTACAATCTTATTGGCAAAATTCACACCAGACTTCATATGACTGTTAATAAGTTCTGTGTTTAATGGCTCAGCAGAAATTAAAGATACACGGATTATTATCACCAATCCATGACGGATAGTTTTAAAATTTTGTTTTCATATACCGGAATGTTCTACAGAGGGGAAGTAAAGTAAAATAGGGAAAACGCATTGTTTAACAAAGAAGAATAGAACTTGTTTGGGAGTGCAGAGAAGAAGAATTCTTTGCCACTAAGGCCTTGTGTTTTTCTTTTGTAGAATTTGGGAAACGAACGTCCTGTTTACAAGTGTTATCTCACTCCTAATTAAGTTAAACCAGTGCTTAACAGTAGGATGATGGTGAGATTTATAGGATTGTTTCTTTAGCTGTATAGTGAGCTAAAACTAGAAAATGCAAATTTGCCGTTGCCAAGAATAGCGTTTCCATGGGACAGCGAAAATGGAAGATCGATTTCAATGTGTCGCTGAAAAGACCGAAACTGGTAGCGACTGCGGCCACTGGTTTGAGAGAAAACAGATTTTGATGGTTTGTGATTACCTTGTCAAGTATAGAGCTGCCCCTGGTAGGAGCATGAGGCAAATCAGATGAGCCAAAAGAAAGCAAGTCAGTTCAAGTCACCAAATGGCTTCATACACCTCGAGAGCTGGATATTCAGCAAACACATAACCCTAGTGTGTCAACAAAAAGTGGAACGCAAAAAACAAGCAGAGGGAAATGGCTTGCATGGTTGAAGTCACCAACAGCCAAATGAACGTTTTCCTCTAACATTAGAACCAACAACGGAATGTAATAATCAAAGATAGAAGATATCTCTGATTGGGAGCACGAAGGAGGTACATACACAGTAGTAATAACTGTACATTTATATCGGGAAAATCTGGGGTGAAAACGTACGAAGAAACAGAAAATGGATTTCTCAGAATAGCTAAATACAACTTCAGACTTGCTACACCAAGAAGTGTTGACGTACGTTGCCACACCGTCTTTATTTTTCATCCTGCTATGTTGTCTGTCCTGTCTTGCACGTGAGCATCCTCAACGTTTTGATTAAATCAGGTGTTTTGAATGCATACGACACGTGGGTTGGAATGAATGCGTGTGTTCAGGGGGGAAGTTAAATCCGAGATATTTGCGAAGAGAGAGCGAACGTTGGTGCTGTCCACTGAGGACACGGTCATCTTGGCAGGAGGTGTGCTATTGGGCGCACACTGCCATCCAGCACATATGCGCTTCTTAATCCAAACATGACTGCCAGATTCTGCAAGCACATCATTCGAGTGAAGCAGAGTTTTACCAGATTTCAATCTAAGCATATCCCCATGAGAGTAGGTATCGGTCCAGAACATGTTTGCCATCGAGATAACAATAAAATTCAGTGTGGGATTGAGCACACAAAACGTAGCACAGCCAACCGAAGGGTGCGCGTCTCTCTTGTTATCGTAACACTACTGTAGGACAGTAGTAGTCATTTCTGGTGTTCTTAAAGATATTTTCCGAATTCTCCTTCCATCTACGCGGTAGTTAGGAGAGCAGGGGAGAAGGTTTTCTGCTGCAGTCCAGACCTAACGAAATTCAGTCACATTTTGAATGAACCGCGACTCTTTACATTCATTTTGCTGGCATTTTGGTGTGCCTGGATCATTCAATTCAAAGGCGTTGGAGACGCCTTTGTGTTTTGGTTTTCATTCGTCGTGGCTAAGACAAGCTAATTTCCTCAGCAATCAACAGTAAGTTACAAATTATCGTTTGGGGGAGATTGCCAAAAGTAACAATGAGAGGGTCAAGACAAACCGGAGAGTAAAGATATCCATAAAGTTGATGTACGTCCTATTTAGATGGAAAACGTAAATCATTTAGGTTTCTAAAAATTCATGAATGTATTTGGATTCTTTTGACACTTTTGAGATGGAACCATACAAATACATATTTCTAATATTATTTCATCTCCTGATGAACCTGATGTGCATCATATCGAGCCAAAAACATCTGTGAGCATAGAAGAACATACATTTGAGTAAAAGACTGATCAAGGTGGAGTGGATCGGGTAAAGTCTGGGACCACGTTGAGTTTCATACAGTTCGCATACAAATAAACAATGAAACAAAGGTAACTTGAATGAGAAAACAGAAGACATCTGCCGTGAAACTAATGCGGACGCACTGCGTAAATCTATTATCTTGATTTTTTCATTCAAATTGGCATTGGGAAAGTTTTGTATCAAAACCAGAATTCAATCCGTACTGCAATGGTAAAGTAACTCACATCGTTTTATGAAAATTGAGTTCTTTCTCTCCTCGACTGGGCATGGACTGGTCTGCGAAGCAGTAGACTTCGTCGTCAACCGCATGACAGATTTTGATACGGGGTGCTTACTATTCACAGGCTTTTTCACCTCTAAATCAGCTGGAATTTTACGCCCCATAGATAATAGAGTAGTAGTTCCGTGTGGCCGAAAAGCAGTGTTTCGACTGTGAACACCAGACAAAACCGACTCATCGATTATATCCGTCACCAGCGAAGAAGTGTCTGTGTCCCACTCAGCTGGCACTGGTTGTTGAATGGTCTGATGAAAAAAGACAGAATGAAACCAACCGTGATGCTCTTGGTCATTATCTTAAAAGAATGAAGGGCATAGATAAATCCCATTCACAAATTATAAAGAACAGCCCATCGAGATAGAGATCAACGAAGTAATCTAGCATTGTTTTTAAATATCACTTTATCAAACCTTGTTGTTCTGAGGAGTTAAAGTGAGCGGATACGTGAGGTGCAACGAAGGAAGACAACACGTATATACGATTTCCTGAAAAGTGCAACAGAATATAATAAGAATATGAAATTAACGAACTACCTTGTTTTAGTGTTTCCGGCTTTTCGCCAATAAAACCCAATGAGTTTGATTTATTGCGATAAGCGAGGAACTGGTTCAGAAGGACAGACTGAGATAAAATGTTTACATAACTACTCCTGAGTCGAAACCTACGGCATGGACGGGCTTCATCATGTAGCTGTTAGAAGCCAGGTGGGATGCTTCAAAATTGGTGGTATTTCTGTGTGCGGTAGACATCTTCACAGATTTTACTGACATTTAAATTAGCAATTTGTTCAAAAACATTGAATGACATTGCACAGAAATGGTCGANCAAGGGATAAAAGTTCAGTTTTATGTCTAAAGTTGGTGGGTAACTAATTTTAATTAATATTTAACTCTTAGCTACTTGTGAGTAGCGATGCGGGATATATTGATCACCGGTTTACTTACAAGCATTGTGCCAACATAACAACGATAATAACAGAAAACGGACGGATTGGGATAAAAAACAAAGTAAAATGGGGGACGGACAGTTATGATGAACAAGAAGAATAACATTTTTCTTTGTTTCACCCTACATATTTATATATTTGTTGTGTGATAGTTTATCGTTTGTTTATGATGAACGGGACTTCAACAGGCAGACAGCACAGCATCACGCCACTGACTTCCATTCTGAACCATATTTCTTAGCGTCTCTTACCAACGGAAATCCTCATCCTTTGCACCACAACCTAAAAGGCGAGCTACAATAACCGAAATCATAGCTGAAGTTATGTTCTATACCTAAGCCATACCATGTTCTGACCACTGCGACGGTTCTTACAGCCTTGCCCACCACGTGCAAAACTAACAAGGAAAGGTGGACGACGTACAGGGACAAAAAACGTGACCAAGCCATTGAGTTTGGGTTAGAGAGATTACTTCTGCTAGGAAAGGATTATCAATACCAAAAACATGATGACGAACCTCGTCAGTGCTTACTCGGTGTTCCCACCAGACATGGCCATCACTTCGAAGTTTGTGGTTGAATACAGAAAGCCGATTATGATCCGCAAAGCGAAGGGTCTAGGTCTCGCAACTGTAAGGCAGAACACTACCAATCGCGGCGATGTAAACCCCCGCCTTAGTAGACAGTCGGATGTCATGGTAGCGCCACATTAATCCCAAGTTTCCCATTGAGGGAGCCCAACAGGACCTATGTGACCCAGTCTCCTGGTTAGGACTTTCGTACCCTCACGCCAGGTCCTAGCTTGGCCACCTTTGGTTAATTCCAACCGCTACCTGCCTCAGCAAACATCGCTAGCCGTGGGAGCCTATCTGGTGACATGCGTAACACATGCCCTAATCAGCGTAATCTATGGCAATCGAGCACTTGCTCCAGTGGACGACCACGATTAACTAAAACTCTACATCTAAACGGCTCGATTGGGTATCGAGGTGTATTGGGCACCTTGGACGTTTGACCCCGTCCAAAAGGGCGTATGACCCAATGGAGTGAATCCCAGCTTCCAATAGATAGCGGTTTGTGTAAACCGCCCCGCTGCCTTGTGGGTCAGGCTTTGGTTAGCCGAAGGCTCTGGTTGTGGATTTCTCAAGAAAATTCACGTGACCTGAGTAACTTGACAGTATTCGGACCACATGAAAATCATGGAATGTTTTTCTTTTCATTAAGATTATTGTACCATGATTTGTTCGGCACACATTCTGGCCTTAGACGTTTTTGATATATATATATATATATAATACATATATATATATGTATATATATATATATATATATATATATATATATGTCACACAAATCNTCTGGCCTTAGACGTTTTTGATATATATATATATATATAATACATATATATATATGTATATATATATATATATATATATATATATATGTCAAACCTCACCCAGCCGGCTAGACTTATACTACCAAGCAAGCCTTCATGAACGATAACGTTACAGGCTAATCTAAAATGTACTCAAGTTCCTATCAAACATTCAGAAATTATTATCGGCTGTAAATCTGACCCTAGTCAATGCGTAAACTGTGGAATTTTTCGCTTAAGTAGTGCCAGTTAACCGTAGACTCTAGTAATTAGTAAATGCTGCACTACAACGTTTCAATTTACTTCATTTCACTGCAGGGACCATACTCGAGAAGACCATAAAAACGATACCTCGTAGATTATGTTTGGTATCGTGTTGACTCATCAAGTAAACAAAGTATTCTGGAAAACAGTTATGCGCAAGGAGAAATTTGGAATCTGGCATCAGACGTTCACATAAATAAGACTGCATCAAAGAATGAATTGACCACTTTAGGTCACAATGAACACACTTTCTAATATAAAAACAGACTAGCGGAATATCCCGTGTCTTGCAACCGGATAGAAAATGATGACGTGTGCAATCAGAAAAAAAATGCGAATGAGTTTTTTCAAGCCTATACTCTTTTACATCGTTATCTTCCGGCTCTGATTCTACACATTAGAGGAGAAAATAAAAAAGAGAAAAACAAACGTTGGGTGCAACATCACTAGATGCTCCATAAAGAAGTAAACAAAAATATGTACAAGGCAACCATCTGAAAATTGCAGTTCGATTAAACCTAATCATTTTTTGGTTGTCTTCAATATCACTTCAAGTAGTGACTATTTGAACAGAATCTACACATCTGTTGAATCCAGCAGATATGTCTCAATAAAACGATAGGAAACCAAAAATTGTGTTGAAAGCAGAGGCGAAGAGTTTCATGAAACACCAATACACTGATTGTCCTCTTCTCCTCAACAGACGGATACATACAAAAATCTTGTTGTCAAGTTTGCGACTGTCATTTTTCTGAAATTCAGCTTGAATAGACTAAATCTTGTCTAAAGGAAAACGGAATACACACTTATATAATAGTCATCAGTACATAACCAAACAGTGACAAGTGTACTAGAACAGAATCCACTGAGACCCAAAGGTAAGCATCAATCTTTGTACGTAGCGCAAATTCAATTAACAGTTACGTCAGTCGTTTTGTGATTAACGCCAAGCGGGAATCGCTCGGGCAAACCGAGAGAAACTTTATTGTCCTCATAGAGGATATTTTGTAATCACATTACAGCTCATCCATAAGCCCGGCTTTATTGGAAATAGTTAACTTCATTCAAATAGACACATTACTCATTCTAGTAAGCATACTGTTTGTGGTCGGATTCTGCTTACCTTCTTTTGTTCGCGATTCACTCTATGTAGTAGCATCTCTAATTGTTCCACCACTCGTCGGCGAAGTAAATACGCATCCTTGGCGCGTGCCAATTTCAGACGGTGTTTCAATAGCATATACCTCAGTTGGCTTGTAATCAGACTGGTTTCATTGAGATTCGGCTGGGCGGATAAGACTCGATTATTAGTGAATTGAGAGGGTGCCGAGGGAGGCTCTGACTCCAGTGATGATCTATCACATTGACGAGAGAACTTTTCAGTGCTGCTCGGAGTTGAACCTCCGGTATGAGATCGTTCCATCGTGGGACTGGCGACAGGTAACTGAAGAGAACACTGTTGTGTTTTGTTTGACCTCACTTTTTCGAGAAACAACAGAGGAAGAAATGACAAATCAATGCAGGAATGGAAACCATTTTGTTGGCACGACTGCGAGTGATGCAATGAAAAGAAGAATCATTTATTGTATGAAACAAATTCATTCGGGTTGACTATTTGCACCGCTGGTGGTGTACAGAAACGCAAAGCGATCACAACGTAACCACACAACAACAACAAAATTGCTGCTCGTAATCAACATCAACATATGGCACGGGAAGTTAAATAATATCCTACTGCCCCAAGATAACATGGCCATCCTTGCGCAGTTAAATAGATCAAAAGGAATCTTTTCAGTTAGATCACAATCAACGAACGTCTGATGACCAAAATCTATTTAACTTTCAGTCAATTGACTTGCAACCGTACAATCTACACTATTAACGATCTGAATATTTGTATTATATCACTCATAAACTAAAAAGTAAAAGAAAAGCAGTACATCATTACTCCAATCGCACCCTAAACTTACATCAGTGGATTCAAGTGAAATCCGATAACAAAAGCAGGCTACTTATAAGTAGTAAACATATGCACCTAACAAACGACGATCTAGATAACGGTGGTACTGCCAACCAGATACCGATGATCAGTCCTATCCAAAACACCCTCAGAAACTCCAGACCGAATTTCTTGCCTCCGTTTGACGACCCGTGCCACCCTAGAAATGTCATCAAAATTTTGAATGACGACGGTGTTTACAGTGCTTATCCACAGTCATGATTGAACAAAACATTGACTTGATCTCACCTCATGCCATGACTCGAGAGTAACTATCATTGAACAGTTTTGTGATATGGGATATTTGGTAAGAGTAAATAAATGTTTCGAATATTTTATTTCTGAGCTATGTGAACAAAAATGGCAACCGACCGAAAATAACTTTAGGATGCTCGAACTTCAGTTTAAATAATTTGTTGACAAAAAGTTCATGAGTACGTTGGAAACTAATTTACCATTTCACACCATCATATGAACACAGAGACTAGAGAACGTGATTAGAGTAATGCTCTTATGTGCTTAGTTCGATGAGCAGTTCAGTTACATTTTTCATTCAGTACAACCCTAACCGTATCCTTTTATGCTCCGACTCTAGTCGCTGTCGCTGTCAATTCACTGAAAGAGAATGTTACCAATATCTTCTAACCATCTACTGATACGAAAAGAGGCCCACACTGAAGGGTTTTATTCCAATACGTGCCGAATACAAGAACGATCCATAAATCTATAGAGGTCAATCAAATGTGTTAGTACACCGCTATCATCACCCGGTTTCCCCAACAAGTACCGTGCATTTCCGAATATCCAAGGGTGTTTAATTATTTTTCAAATATGATGCAAATCACAAGCTCTAGATCGGAATCATACCTGCATTGCCAAGAAAGTAACTGTTAGAACTATAGACTAGTCGTGACCAAAATAACCGTATTTGAGTAGCATGTCGAGGGAGTTGGAAATGTGCCCAAAAGGGTAAGACATCACGATTCATATGAAAGATGATAAGCAATGCATGAATGCGAATGTCAAAGGTTTGTCCATCATAATGGTAAAGCTATATAATTCTTATCTGCCCTTATTTACTAATGAGAGGTCCCCATTCGGGTTCCTACGGCGCACTTCGACATGAAAAAATCTAATCCAATGAAAGAAGAAAGAGAGTAGGGAGACGCTTCAAGTTAAAATTGTATAAAATTAACTTAAAAGAAGACTAACTTGGGCAGGTCTCTTGTTTGTATTCCGCCGAAGCGTGAAAACGAATTCCATATACTTATTGGCAAGGATGTGTGCAGTTAACCGAGTCTTACAAATAGCCGACGAGCTGAAATTCAGGACGCCTCAACAATGACAACAAAGTCAAAATTATACACTATGTGATTGAAGACCTGAATGAGAGAAACAAATCATTTACTGGACAGAACAGCATTCCCACCAAGCAATTGATTAAAATTCAAGTCAGGTAAAATTAAGGAAAGCTTTCTGCATCCAAAAGTATAATTCTCAGCATCTCGTGAATTTATTAAGAATATATATGTAGACGATTAACATATGTAAATTAAATCTTTCAGGGATTCTCACCATGTAAAAAATATCTGTAAATATTGACTGACCGTTGTATGTGTCACCAAGAACAAGCGAATTGCTCTCGATAGTTTCATTTGCTGAATGGGTTTTGAATTTTGGGCTTCGATTCGAACGAGGAGGTCTACTTGCTGAGGAACCTTTCGTGTACCGTTCTCTGCTGTCCAACGCCCCAGGAAGTACAGAAGCTGCAGAATTAACCCGAGTGGAAGAAGCCATTGGTTGATTAAAGGTCATCGATCCGTGGGCACTGGTTGCTCGCGGTTCAACTCGATAGCGAACAGGACTGATGGAAGCGGTGAGATGTTCAGTCTGAAATGATAGTGTACAAAAGAACGCCGGTGTTAAATAAAATCATCAGAGAAATTCAACAACAGTTACCAATCAATCTTTCTCTCTTCAATAGCAGAATAATTAAATTGGTCCTAAACGGAATGTTCCCCCACAGCACTCCTTTAAAATACAACGGTGACCATGGTGTTTACTCTTTTTGCTACAAATCGCTTGGTTTGTAAAGAAGCAATGAGTTAATCATTGACTAGTAACCGAATAATACATCCTTCACACCTGCACAATTAAATCGTTGTTACCCAGATATTCCAAACCGCAGTATTGAGGTGACCGTAGGAAACTTTTGAGGCATTATTGGCATCAGAGAGAGAGAGACCGAATCGTCGTAAGTCAACTGGATCCGATTCGTGAAACGTTACTTAGAAATCGAATGCGTCTCCCGAACAACCACTTTAAGTTTGGGTGCATCGTGAAACGGAAAGCATGTATGCCCTCTCGCTGTTTTAATAACGACAAAACACGACGAGATTGCACATGTAACTGCGGTAAGCAAAAGGAAAGCAGTATACTTAAAATAGCTTCATATATTCAGCGCTATATCACATGATTACATTTCGGAAATTTCCGGAAACGAGAAGAACCAAAAGGGACCGAATAATCACGTTTGAAAGATGCTTTTTATTGTATGCATTGAACTCCACTGCCACAGAAAACACTGAGATGGTGAGAAGTGTATAAGCGTCTATGGAATACGCGGTCTAATGAGCAGATCAAGTCTGGTGCCAACGTGTCAACAATAATCGCAGTAAAAGGAGTCCGGAAAAGGAGGAACGGTAGGGAAACAATTGTTGGGAATTACAAAAGGAACACGGAAAATCATGGTGTATTCTTTTTTTAAACGTAAACATTTTGATTTTTTCGTATCTTTCTCAGTTGTTCATATGGAAGAGAATTTCGACAGGCAGGTTGTACAGAATTCGTGACATTGACTTTAATTCGGGGTCATACTTCTTAGCGTCCCCAATCGGCGACATTCCTCATTCCTTGGAACCCCACCTGAAAGGTGAGCTGCACCAGCTGATACCACCGCTGAAGATAACTTCATCATGCCCGCACGCCAGGTCACAGTTAGACCACCACCAGGCTTCCAACCTTACCCAGCAAATTGAGTAGGGAGAAGTGGACGATGTGCAAACATAGGCAAAGCGTGATCAAGGTATCGGATGTGAGGTAGAGCGATTACTTCCGCTAGAAAACGATTATCAAACACCCAAAACGACGACAAACCTTGTCAGGGCTCACACAATGTCCTCACCAGACAGAACTAACGCTTCGAAGAAGCCGGTGATCAAATACAGAAAACCGATCAGCATCCTCAGAACGGAGGGTCCAGGTCTCGTAAACGTAAAACAGAACACTACGAACCGAGGCGATGTACACCCTTGACTTAAGAGACAGTCGAATGTCATGGTCGCGCCGCAGGTTGATAAAAGCTGTTCAAACTTTTGTTGTTCGTAATGTGGTCTCCTCTACAACACCACCTACAGCTGCGAGCAAGCTTCTGGGGTACTTGAAGCTCTCGACTACTTCTAGCTGATCACTAAAACATGTGATTGTAGGCACACGCTCCTGTAAGTCTTGTACAAGTAGTTCAAAATAGTTCGATATAACTTATCCGCGTAACATATATCAACGGATATGCAATATAGCGAAACCCTGTGAAACAATTTCATTTCTCAGGATTGAAATAATCTCTCTGTTGACTAAATTCACAACTCAATCCACTTTTGATAAATAAATTCATGTAAAGTAATACCCTTTTCGAATGTCACACCCAATGAGCTGCATGTTGATCCAAAGCCTCGAAAATTGTGTGCATAACCCACCTGGAGTACAGTCTTCACGGCGCTCGAGTATTCACCTGGGACGGTGTACGGACTGTGGCCGTTCAGATCGAAACAAGTGGAAAGAATATGATTATTTGGGCTGTTTGACAGTTTCCAACGAATCTCATTTTCATCAGCCGGCAAGCTCAAAGTGGA